ACCAAATTGGCCACTACAGAATAAAACTGGCCTTTCCGAAGCATGTTCGTCATTTACAATCTGTATCAATCTCTCTCCTCCATCTCGAACTGTTACTGTTCCTTTCTTGGCTGGTTACTACCTTCTCAGTTTTTTTTTGTCCTTGCAAAGGTTTTTTCGAAGATTTTATCGGCCCACTTCAAGTCATTTCTCTGTGACCGCGAACTCAATGGCTAAAAACTTTAAGACGTAATTACAAACTTGCCAAATATTCAGCTAAATGTCGTGACCAGCACAATGCCATGAAAAGTTTTTACCTGGCCAACAATATCAGCTCCTGGATTCCCAAAAGGATCAATTATGTATTGCACCTCATTTTGACCGCACGTTTTCTTGTACAAGTTTCCAAAGCCGTCGTACACATAATTACACCTGCAGTAACAAAAACAGTGAGTCAAATTTTTTAGAAAGTTTTTTGGAATAGGGTGGGAAGAAATGTCAGTAACGGCCTGTTCACTTGCCGGAAGTAAAGTTTTGTAATGACTACTTTCGAAAGAAGTTGCATCTTACTAGTATTTTGAGGCATTTATTGTTGTTGTTTGAATTACTATGACAAACAGGGGGAGAGGACTTTCCACCCTCCCCAGGTACGCCCTTGAATGACGTTTATAAGTGCCGTTTGAGGGGGGTTATCATTTAACGAAGGTGACAATTTGGCTTCTATTTTGGTCAAGTTTCTCACCTTCTGTTTGGGGTTTCAGCTTGTAGCAAAATATTTTCAGTGCTAAACTTGAATTTGACGCTGTCATTCCGTAGATCTCTGTTTGTCTTTTCCACCATATTTCCATCCTCGTCATACTTGATTTCATAATTTCCCGCTGAAGTATATTGGTTAACTTCATTGACAAAATATAAAGTCTTGTTACCGGGCTCTTCTGAAACCTGCACTCGATTTTTTCGTTTATCGTAGGTGTAACGAACGGTTTTACCGTGTGGATATTTTGCCTCGATGAGCTGCGATGCTGCATCGTATTTGTAATGCCAGATTCCTGATGTTGTGTTTTCCTGAATGATTCGTCCTTGCTTGTCATAATTGTACTCAAAGTATGAGGAAATGCTGCCATTTGGAAAGTAATTTATTACACGCGACAGTTTGGAGTTAACTGGATCCATAACGTACTCTGAAGAAGCTCCGTTTCCAAGGACACGTTTGGATAACATCCCTTGTGAGTTGTATTCCAATTTCAGCAAAACGTCGGCCGTACCCGAGTCTACGCGCACTACTTCGGATAGCCGGTTTAACTGGTCATACTCGTAAACCAGGTTTAAGTCGGAGACTTTTAGCCCCACGCGACGTTGGAATTCATTGTATTCATAAATGATACTCTTACGGTTTGGATAAGTAACACTGATTGGTCTGTTTTCACCGTCATAGGCAATTTTAACTGTACCGATACCATTAATCGCTTGGACAATATTACCATCGCTATCATGTAAGAAGTACGAAGAGCTAAGATCGTCGACATCTTTGTTAACCTACGTAAACAGATAAAAGGTATCAACAGAAAAATTAACACATTCCCTTTAGCATACCCTAACATAAAGTTTTTTGAACGAGGCTAGTCCTTGCGAAAAGAAGGTATACTTCCTTTACGATTAGCCTTGTCCCGTTGAGCTAGTAAAACGCTGGAAAGTTGCTAACTGGAAT